AGCTGGCTGAACTGGCCTACCTTTCCTGTTTCTCTCCATTTATTTCCCACAAAGGTAATGCAAACACCTCCCTTTGTTTTTGTCCTCATGCTATCCCTCCCAGCCCAGACCCGTGTCCATCCCCATAAAGGCCCTAACTCCAGCCCGAAAACTGACTTTTGTTTCAGGTTTCTTGTATGCCTGATGTCCGGTGTGGTGGCTTTAGACTTTGCCTCATCTTTATTTGTTACTCATATGCTCCCTGGTACCCGAGGGTTCAGCTGGCTCACTTGGCTTCTAACCCGTAACTCCCCACACCGGAAGGCGAGAGCCTTAAAGACAAACTCGTGTCTTACCCATGCTTAGAGCAGGTAAATGTGTTACAGTGGCTACTGAACTGATTCAGTCTTGACTACTTTTTCATGGTTACACCAGCTCCCAGACCTGGGATCTATAATTCCTGTGGCTTCCCATGTTTGAGAGGTTTTGTCATAACCTTTAAAGATCACAGTGGGTGTGGCAATTGTGAACTTGGCTATGACCTAGGTCCCAAGGGAGGATTCTATATTTCTAGGTTAGAAGTATTAAATGGGAGACCAAAGAAAAGCGATGAGAAAGAGACAAGGTGAGGTAGGACAGTACTATAAGTACTTTTAAAAGTCTTTTACTAGTTGTAGCTGCTCTGGGTTTCACTGACTTCCTCTGTCCCTCCTGATAACACTGATGGGCTTTGCTTCCAGTGCTGTAGCATCATATCAAATTAGATTTAAGGAGACCAACGGAGTGACAAGGAATTAAAAACAGAGTGGAGATGGATTCTTGGTTTGGTTTCCCTAAGCATAAAAAGCTGGCTTCACATAGACTATCAGAGAGGCTGCTCGTTTTAAAGAGAAAAAGAGCACAGGCTCCAGAGCTTAACATTTTATCTCTACCCTGGCTATCTCTGTGACTCGACACAAGTCAGTCTCTCAGGCTGATTTCAGTTTTTTCATCAGAGATGGGGCTCGGGGGCTGGGGGAGAGCTGTGTGTGGCAGGAACAGCACCTACCTTGTTGGGTGGCTGAGAGCATCAACAAAATCACATATGCAATTCACGTGGAACGCAGGAGGTGCTCAAAAGGTTCCTTTTAGGTCTCTTATGGCAAACTTTCCAAGTGCGTGGGCCTGAGCGTCAGAAGTGCACCCCTGGCTAATATTTCATGTCAACCCAAGTATGTAGCTCTGCTGCTCAGCTCCACGCCAGGAAAGTGGAACCCTTTGCACTCAGAATTCTAAAAGTGCAGAAATCAGGCTCCAAACGTGGGTGGAATAAAAGAATTTAGAAAGTGTTCAACAGATTCTGCTGGTAAACAGTTAGAAGGTTTAGCACCAGCAAAGGGACAGTTAATTCAACTGTGGTGATCAGTTGAATTAACTGAAGAGGAAAGAAGACCTTTGCCTAGAATGTCCAGATAAAATGCAAAAGTGGCTCTTCTGTTTTTCACTGTAGCTAAATCGCCTCAACTGCCCACTGTACCTCTCCCATATCAAACAGCTTAATTAAAGAAAGCAGGGGCCATCTTTTTCTGTTTATACCATCAGAAAAAATAACCAAAATAGACAGGAAATGAAAAGACTCAAAATTCAAACTTTACTTCAGATGGTATATATTTCCTTATGAAACACCAAAAGGCGAGTTAAGTACCCAAGAATCAGAATAAATCCTCTCTCATAAATGCCGGCCAAACCCTTCCTCAATATGAAAGAACGTTTTTGGATTCCAGTGTGATTTCTCGGGACTGATAAGTCACCTAGTAATAATCTTAAGTCCACAACATGCAGAATTTTGGCAATAAAAACAGACAGTTAATTCTGTTTAAAAGACAGGGTAGCCCTGCCAGTGTTGTTCCCAAATGAGGTAATGTCCATGACTCTTATCTAGCCTTTATTGAGATTTAATGTCATTTACCGCTGGCTCTTGAAAATTTGCTGCATAATCTCACCTTTTCTGATGTGTGTTACTTCCAGTCCATTTCAACATTGCAATTATGACCCTCTGGTTTTTAACATGATTAAAGAACGAATCCCATGTGTTTTTATTTTTTTGCATGTCCTATAATTTGAGTCTTTTTTCCATAGTCCCAGAACATTCAGAGATCAGCATATTTCTCGTTTTTAAGGTATACTATAAAAATACTTCTGAGGTCTGATATATTTATGTAAACATCTTTCAAAGAAGTCAAAATGTATAATTCAAGAAAATGTTCTGTGAAAGAATTTGTTTTCTGATTCCTAAATGATTTCCTCCTTTTGAAAAAAACAACAATTTTATATTTACTTAGCTGGCTCTGAAAGTGCCAGGGACATTATCATTCCTTTCACTCCCTAGCATCTCTTCTCCAGGTGCAGGCCTTTGATTTCCAAGGCGGCTTTATGTGGAGGAGGAATCTAGAAGCTGTAAAAAGGAAAGCGAAAAGTGCCCTCCCCATCTTATGTTTTCCCCATAAAGATCAACAGGGTGAAACAGAACTGTTACAACACAGATGAGACACCCAAATGGAGGTGACAAAAAGATTTTCACATGCCTTTGACTTCCTTTTTTCAACTAGAGTATAAACCAATCTTGGTAAAGACGGGAATCTGTTTGACAAACGTGAACACGATGCCCAACACCCATGTTGTTTTTTCCAACAAGCTTTTCATCTCTCTAACACTTAGGAGCAAGAGCAACAGCCACAGCCACCCAGTTATGGGGTTTCTATCTTCCCATACTGTTTTGTATTTTATGTAGCAGAAAAACTAAATTTGAGGATATTAAAGGCAGTCCAGAGACAGAGCAAATGACCATGTTTTGTTGCTGGGCAGACTGGTGGCGTGTGTGAGAAATCCGGTTGGGAGGCCCAACTGTGTAGCTGGTGAAAGAGTCAAAGAAGCAATTCCTACCTCCCACTTCCAACGAAGTTCAGACAAGAGTGGATCTTCAATAAAGAAAATCTGATGGCTGATTCTCCCTTAACAATCTGAGCCTTCCTTCTAAGCCAGCTGCATAATCTCTGAATCTTTGGAAAGCCTGTTCCACATTACTCATTATTGCCAGCCCCTTCCCTTCAAAGCAGCAGCAGCAGCCTGACAGAATCAAGAGATCTAACTTGTACGGGCCTCACAGTCCCATCTTTAAAGCCAAGATAATAACTCATGCTCCTCTCTTTACCACAGGGATATAGTGAAAACCGAGAGAGCCTAGTGCTTAGGAGTTTATACTAAAGAAAGCACCAAAGGTCTACAATGTATGTAACACAGACCAGAGGTCTGGGAGCCTCGGGAGTTGTACAATCTTTTCAGGTCTGCAAGATTAAACATTCTTCAAAATGATACTCAGACATTACTTTCCTCTTTTATTCTCATTCTCTCAAAAGTGTACAGTGGAGTTTGCCAGAGGCTGCAGGTATGTGACAATGACATCACTCTAATGACTAATGGAATGTGTGCTTGTAAGATCTTGTGTTTTAAGATTTTCTGTTTTAGTTTCTAATTAAATATTGATAGATAAAAGCTCCTTGGGTTCCTCAATAACTTTTAAGAGCATAAAGAGGTCCTGAGAGCAGTTTGAGATCTGCCAACTTAGAGCTCCAGCCCCACCCAAACGTGAAGCTCCCAGATGGGCTGACTCCTCACCCACCCGGAGCCTTGTATAAGCTGTTCTGTCTGATGGGAGACGCCTGTCCTCTCTCCACTGGACTAAGTTCTGCTCTCTGCTTAGACGTTACTTTCTAGGGGAAGCTTTCCCTGACTTCCCCAAGACCAGTCAGGTAGCCCAATATGTGCTCCCCTAGCACTTAGGACACGCCATTGTGATGGCCCATTTCTTGGTCTTCTCTTGTCCTTGATTCCTTTAATGCAATAACTGACTGTCACTGTTTTGACTGTCACACAGTAGTATGTAAGAGACATTCAGTAAATACTTGTTGAATATATAAAACAACTAAGGAAGGCAGGCAAGAAGATAGGTCTTTCTTACATTCGCACCTAGAGGGAATCAGTTACTAAACATACTAGTTTGCATTATAGTACAGGCTCATTAAAACTATGATAATAGTAACTATCTATATCTCTGTATCTTATTATGTACCAGATACTATGCTAAGAATTCTAAGCACTTTATATGCATTAATTCATTTAGTCTTCACCAAATCCCTATGAGATATACAATACCATTATCCTCATTTCAAAAACAAAGACACAGATGTGTGGGTAGTGCACACCTAGATTTGAGATTTACACCCAGACGGCCTGGCTCCAGAATCCATGCCACTGACCTCATGTGTCTGCAGCACAGACCTCAAGCTTACAACATATGTTGGAATCTCAAGGCTATCTCTCAACTCTGCTCACAAATCAGAAACCTGACCTAATGTTTAAATCCCACCCCCTCCCCTGCCCCACAGTGAGTGACCACAGCAGACCACGTGAGCATCAAATCTCCTCACCAACACCACCTGTCCCCAAGTTTATAGTTAGGGTTTAAAAAGAAGTTTCAATAGGAAGTCTATTTATTCAAAACAAAAAGTCTCCTCTGTAGCACAGAGAAAAAAAGAAAGCAGGGTATGATATTTCCATGCGCTATGGTGTTATTTCCCTGATGTGTGTAACTCTCCTTGTGCTTCTTGGGCTAATCTCTCTTTCAAGGAATGCTCACAACTTCACCCTGAACAAGGAGTGGCTCAGAATGTTCTGCAGGCATACTTGATGGAAAAGGCACACTTTTACCTGGTTCAGACAGGTGAGTCCAAATGGCAAAGCATGCTGTAGAAAACAGGATTTAATGCAACAGATGATTTGGCAGAATCACAGTGTGACACTATATTTATGATTGTAATGGAAAAAAAATTCACCTAGGAAATACCTGTTCTTTCAGCAACAGAGAAAAGTTCTATGGATAAAGTTAAAAGCTTATGCAACAAATCTTCACCTGCCTACACTACATGAGAGACCAAAGTTCATCCCGTGGTGTCTGACAGGTCACACAAAGTAACTTAACTTACCTGGAGAAGTGTCCCATGAATATGGTTTTGCCGGAAACACTGGTCAGTGCAGTTGGGGAGTTTGGCCAACAGAGTTCGGATGGTAGCTGGGATTTCATCTCTCATAACAAATGGGACCAAGGCACGGGCTGCCATTTCACGAGAGCGGTAGACAGGTGAGTTACCACACCTGGGAAGAAATAAACACACAAGACCATCCATCCAATACTCACTTTCATATTGTGCCTTTGTATGTGCTGACCGAGCAAGCTCTGGCTGGGACACTGAGGCTGAGGGGGTGGGGGAGTTGCTCTCTACTCCAAATGATGTTTTTCATCCTTCCATTATTTGGAATGGAATGATTCTGAGCGCACGTGCGCACACAGGTGTGCATTAGTTCTACAGGCAACTCTTTTTTATAAATATCAACACCTATGATTCTATCACAGGGATAAATGCAGAGAGGCTTTGGTAATTAGACAGCAGGCAAAAATGGCTCACTCCCCAAAAAGCAAACAAAGGCGCCCTGCGCCACGAGAAATAACAGTCACCGTTGTCTTTGAGGGGCCTATACTCTGCTTGGCCAAATAAGAAGTATGTCTGCAAAGATGACCAGAAGCCCAGCTGGTTGGCTCAGCTGGCTGAGCGCCATCCCGTGCACCAGGAGGCGGCTGGTTCGATTCCCGGTCAGGGCACATGCCCAGGTTGTGGGCTCCATCCCCAGCAGGGGACATGCAGGAAGCAGCTGATCGATGTTTCTCTCTCTCTCTCCCTCCCTTTCCTCTCTCTGAAATCAGTAAAAACATAAAGAAAAGATTACCAAAAGCACAAGACGGCGCTGGAAAAATGATATTCAAGTTAATCTTGACATTATGGCCACAAGAGGATAAGACTGTGGTTTGTGTTCTGAGAAGGTTGGCACTAGGAAACCTAGCACAATTTAAGCGCACCAAAAGAAACAAGGCAGTTGTTTCCACCAGGAACAGTGGTACAAAGCAAGGGTAGATGCTCAAGGCGCAGGCAGATGTGTCTGGTTGAAGCAGAGGCTCTTGAATTAACAGTGGGACTTGAGGCTGAGAAATGGGTCACCTCAGGCTGGGGAGTGCCAAAGGGCAGACTACATGATTGGAACTTGTCAAGAGAAAACAAGATGGACCCTCAAGTCACCAAATCCTTGCCTCTGGGCTAACTCATACCCAAAGAGCTTGAATAGAAGCCACCAGTTCCTAAATAAGTAGAAGTCCCGGACAAGCGGTATTTTGAGATTCTACAAAGGTCATTGGAAAGGCAGGTCGTCATCTAAGGGCCTCTCGACTTTGTAAACACTCAGAACCTGAGAGTCCACAGCCATTTTGCTGAAACTATGCACTTGAGAGCCTTCACAGATACAGTATTACTTGAGAGGAGAGCTCAATATGATAGGTCCTAGCTAAATAACTTCTTGACTACAATGCTCAAGACTTCATGATCTTTCATCCTATTAAAAAAGTAACTCAACTTAGAATCAAGAGATGTCTTGGATGCCAAGACAAAGATGGAAGAAGATGGTAGACTCTTCAGGGCAAAGAGATGGGCTCTTGCTTTGTTTTTTTGTTTTTTCTCAAAATTATTCAGTATTCTAAGAAGGAATTACTGATAAAATCTGAGCCATTAGGCCCATGTAGCGATGGAGGCTTAGCATGTACAGGGGTGGAGAACCTTAACACCAAGGGCCATTTGGATATTTATAACATCATTTGCGGGCCATACAAAATTATCAAACTTAAAAATTAGCTATTAGCTATGAAAAAAACTCTGAGATTTATGGAATTTCGAGTCCTGCCTGCAGTTGCCTTGGCAGGCCCAGATCAAGTGATTTCAAGGGCTGTATACAGCCCAAGGGCTGGACATTCCCCATCCCTGATGTACAGAAACAAAGTCCTATGACTGAAATTCTTCTAACACCTATCACCGACATTTATCTTAACAGGACAATAAAGGCACAGTTACAAATTCTACACAAATGGGATGATGCAAGCAGAATTTCATCATGGGGAGTAGGATAGGAGGAGGGAGGGAAAGGGGAGAAAGAGATACCAAGTAGGTCAAAACACTGTGTCTTTTTGCCCCCCTAGAAATGTAGGTCCCTGAGATCAGTCCATCAGCCCACACTTTCAGGATGGGAAAGAGCTCACCTTACATCATATTATGGGAAGACACTGGGGGCTAACGTTTCAGTAGGTAGCTAGAGATTCCCCAATGGTCTTTGACTAGGTTTTGCCAACTCACCCATTTTCTCACTTTAAAATGATTAAATGTTTAATCTGTAATTGGCAAATGCAGTAAAATGTTTGCTTTGGCCCACGGGAGGCTAGGGGGTGAGTAAGAAAACTTCATTTGACAGAGAAAAGAAAATACTCTGAAAATGCTTTGAGATTTAATTAGCAAATGACCTCACTCAGCACAGTCATTTGTCGTAAGCTTTCCCTTCTGTCTGTCCCCCACTCCTCCAAGACACACATTTTGTGTTATAGTGTGTTTTATGTTATGGAAAGGGCTCTTGTGTATAAATGTTTCTTTTCAAATACAAATAACTCTGACATGGTTACAGATGTTTAGTTTCTAATTAGTAGTAACTGTACACTAAAGAATGCCCCTCCTTTTACTCCTGACCTTTTACAAATGATGATTTCCCAAAGGAATCTGGCATCCATACAGAAGAAAGAATGGAAAGTGGGAAAAGAGCCAGAATTTTCTGCTTTCGGATACCCTGTACTAGGGTACTTTCCAAATGCACACAATCAGGTTAAAGAGCAAAACAAAACCTCCCCACACAAAAAAGTAATGCAATTACAGAAAAAGAGAAGCCTATTTTTAAAGTAATATTTAATTAAGTAACATTCATTATAAAGCAATGATTAAACATAATTTCAAACTCCTCTCTACTGCAAATTGTTTAAATGGAAGGACAGATTATAGTATGTACACACACACACACAGAGCGAAAAACATTTCCAGGTTACTGTTTTGTCAGCTATCAGAGGCAGAGAAAGGGGTCTGATGAGATTTAGCTTTTCTCCAGATATATGTGGCCTGGAGTGTGACGGGATATAAACAGTCTTTTTAGCCCTACGTGGAATATATCTGAAGTTAAACTCTGGTTTTCTCCTGGATAGAATTTTCCAGTTTGATGTAGTAAATGTATCCAAATCAGGCAGAGATGCTCTTCAAGAACACAGAAGTCAGTGGCTATAGGGGCGGAAAATGAGAGCGCCGGGACTCAGCCTGCTGTGAACAATGAGTTTTGTGACTCAGACAAATCATAATTTCTCTGGGTCTCAGTTGAGCTGAGAGTGGTGGCAATAATCTGTACCCAGTGCTCTGATGTGCTACCTATGAGAACATCCCAGGAAGAAAGGTGTTTGAAAATAGAAAGTGTTCCTAGTGTACTGTGCCTGTGTCTAGCACAGGATCAACAGAGGCTGGGAACTGCAGGCCTGTCAAGTGGCCCCAATGGGGAGCTAAGGCTACAGTGTGAATGCTGGGCCATTTTCTAAAAATGTATTATTCGATTATAGTTGACATACAATATTATGTTGGTTTCAGATGCACAACATGGTGACTAGACATTTATATACCCGGTGAACTGATCACCTCATAAGTCTAAGGGAAGATGACAAATTCATGACATGAAGGCAAGGAGATTTTTTTTTTTTTTTTTTTTTTTTTCCCCTTA